GGCACATCTGCGCATTACCCACAATTCTGCCAATGTCATGTGAATTAATTAATTTCTACATGTAAAATGAAAACGAAATGAATAAAAGATGGCGTTGATTCAAAAAATACGCAGCCGTAAATCCTTACTAGCTCTATCGAGTCAGGTAACCTAACAAGGGGCTTGAAGTTGCTAAGCAACACGATTGTTGACTTGAATGAAAATATATTTTGATCTCATTCATAGTTTATTTTATATAGATTTTAGGAGAAAAATATTTTGATAATAGAAGCCGACCGAAAAATAATTGTGATTGTGATACTTGTTGCGTAAATGTTGAAGTCCTGTTTGTTGTGAAGTAATTATGGAAAAGCGTTGAAAAGTACATACAGTTTGATAGAACAGAAAGTTTAGAATATGGTTATTGAATTGGCATCAATGCTAGTGATATTGAAATAAACATTTTAATATTCTATATACGTATGTTTCATTTTTTTTTTATTTCTAAGTGGAACAATAATGTTGTCATATATTATAACATACCAATATAATATATTGACATGACTTACATCGCATTGACACAGTCACGCTATCTAATGGAAATCCCGTTAAACCTATATATGTCAACGTTGGCACACAGTATAACAATAAAATTGGAGATTGGGCTCTCTTTTTCCTAATATATACTTTTACTCTTTGTTTTCAACCGATGAGATTCAATTTTTTTAGCTCTGCCGCCTTATAATTTTGTACTAAGGTTGTTATCATTCAGTCATTTTTAATAAATCTATGGTCACAACTCATCCCATCCATGTTAGTTAGCTCTTTAAAGGCAAAAACCCATCTTTGGTTCTTGCCTTTAAAGAGCTAACTAACATTTGTATATGCATCCGTTAAACGACATTGTTTCTATAGTGAACAAGAGTAGGTTTCGTTCAATATTGCCGAGGCACTGTCGTATCGATCCGAATAATTATATCAAAATCAGTTTAGAGAGTACTACTCCTGACAACAGTTCAGCAATGAGCTCCTTATACGACATTCATATAGTCTCTCTGACAGTATTTCATGTTTCAGAGTATCAAAAGCCTTGCTGTAGTCTATGAAGACTACGAGTACATGCTTTTTCTTATTTAGATCGTGCATAATTTGATTGGGGAATGCCGATAGAAGTTGACTTGTATTTTTATGAGTTCTCATAAATTTGCTTACTAATGAGCTTCTTAACTATCTTATCAACCACCGATAATATAAGTAGTAATAAGTCGATCGTTCATTTGGGTACATATTAGTTTCAAGAATTGATTAATTTTTCCAAGTACTGAGAATAATTCCTGCCAAAGGAAGTAAATATCTAATGATATCGCGTATACCATTAATACCCGGGGATTTTTTTACGATTTGTACTTTTATTTAATCATTCCATATCCTCAGTGCTAGTTTTCCGTAGGCACATCGATACATTTAATGAACGTTAGTAATCTTTCTTATCTATTAAAGAAATTCTAGCCTTATTAAATTTGTTTTAATATCATATTATTTTTATCTTTTAACCATTTATTATAGGAAACATCTCTGTATTCTCATGCATTTAATACTTTTTTATTAACTCAATTATTATTTCTATTAATTTTTATTAAATTAATTTTAGTTGTTGATTTTTTATAATTTTAGTCAAATAGTTGCATGTCACGAACGCCTCTCCCACCATGATCCGACAATGTCTCCGCCCTTGTGAGAACCTTCCAGCAATACTCTCTACCTACCAGTGTAGGAGTAGCGAGCATGAGATCCACAATAAAGCCTACCGTATGGCCGCGCCATCCTCTCACACACGTGAACTCACGATCCCTGCTACCGAGGACCTAACAGGACTGACGAACTTTTGGTGAAAAAAAAATGTTTACAAATATTTTAAACTATCAATAAAGATGAATTTTTTTTCTTATATTATATTTGATCAATATTACTAAAGGTCGTGGGTTCGATTCTCATCGCAAAGTACCAAACACAAAGTAGATTTTTTAAGCATTTTTCATTAAGATTTTTTTCCAGCATAGGGTAAAACCAGGATAGATTTAATATTAGTTTTGTATGAATAACCACCAGCCCTCTAACGTCCCCACTGCAGGGGCTCAGGCCTTCCTTATGGATGGTTAAGGAGGATAGGCCATGACCCTCCACGCTGGCCCAATGCGGATTGGAGGGTATTAACGACTGCAAATGCAGCCGGGACCAACGGCTTAACGTGCCTTCCGAAGCACGGAGTAGCTCGAGATAATAATTTTTTGGTCACCCATCCCGTGACCGACCCTTGCGAAAGTTGCTTAACGACAACGATCGCGGGCCGCGGCGCTTATCCACTACGCCACCGAGCTACTACGTGGAATGTATTTTTTTTTGTATGAATAATTTCTATTAATGTAGTTGGATGAATCATTTATATTAAATTAATGTTATTATTTTTTAAATTATTAAATATAGAAATTGGCTTTTCGTGGAATGTATTTTTTTAAGGATAGATGCCTAACTATATGGGTAGTTGCCCCACCATGAAAACACTGAGAAAGATAGATGCACTTCATACCTTTATTACCTCAAACAACAAGTCTCCAATAAACATGCGTTATAATAATGCGAAAACACCGTTTCTTTAAAAAAAATATATTAATCAAATTAGAAGGTAATTTTAATACTATACAAATGAATATAATTAATTTTTAAAGCGGTTGTTTAAAAATAAATATTCTTAACTTTCGACATGCATAATCATATTTTATGTAAAATTGTCGGGATATTTCGCTTATCCCCATGATTTTTTATCCATTTGATCGAAAGCTTACTGTAGGTTTTCTGTAGTCCAAGAACATACTTCAGCTCGCACTCCTTTCTTTCTTTTACATTTTCAAGGCATAGCTCTGCTAGTATTTACAAAATTTTCAATATATTCTTTTTTTTCAGTATATCCTTTCACAATTTCAATATATTACGAAAGGTAATAAAATATTTTTAAAAACACACATAATTTATATATTGTTCAGTGAGAGATAGATGCCTAGGGTGGTGCCCTTACTACCTCGAAAATCAAGGCAACTATCCCATGAGACAGAGATGCCCAACAGTTTTTAAATAAATTATAATATAATTGCATCTACTTAATTATAAATACAAACTCAATAATTTCAAAAATTATTATTAATAATATGAAAATTATTATTAATTATAAAGTTAGACAACGCACAAATAACACTGTTTAAATCTTCTATGTGTTCGTGACTGTCGCCGCGGATATAATTACACGCACAAGCAAAATAAATCTACATAGCACGTTGCCAGTGGGTAACTAAGGTGCGGTGCGGTGTGTACTACTTATGTATACAATATTCTTAGTAGCAAATTCGGGACGTTAGGTTTTTGAATATGAGGTATCTATCCTGCTGCGGCGTCTGTCCTGGTTTACCCTAACATTGTGAACACAAAATTAATTAAAATATAATATTTACTGAATTTATCGAACAATGGTCGTGTGTCAAAATTCTGTTCTGCAAATGAATTTTCTTATATTCGTTTCCAAAGATTCATTCCCTAATATTTATATGTAGATAAGTCAGGCATACGAATTGTATAAATCATCAAAAATAATCTAGCTTAATAAAAAAATAAAACAAGCTTTAAAAAAAACAATAATAATAAATGGCTTAATCGCGCTTGTATTTAGTTTTATTGATGTTTCTGACCCTTTACAGGTTCACACTTTTCATAAGTGTGTATACGAAAACGTTTAAAAGTTGTTTAATTTATTTTTTTATTTTTATTTTAAATTGATTCTATTTTTTGGAATACCGTTGACTTGAGATGGTTTTCTCGACCATTTTCTGTAGTTTATTAAATATTAACCGCCCGACTTCAATGTTTCTTGAAAAGCTCAGTTCTATTCATTTTATTAATGTGTTTATTTCATTATTTTTTATTGACATTTAGGTATATAAATGTTTAGGTAATTACTGTAACTTACTTAATAGGTACCTTATATAAATGGTTTTTATAGGTATCACTAAAAAATTAAATTTCAATAAAAGAAATTATATTTATAACGAAAGGCCTGAAATTTTATTTATTTGCACGACGTAACCAAGAAGAAATCAGTGAACAAACCTACTTGCATTAAAAATAATGAAATTTCTGGTTTCAAAACCATAGGAGCAGTAAATGAATTCAACTAATGAAATAAAGGCATTGAATTTTGGAACTGAAAAAATATATATTAATGATAAAACTTATTCTCGGTTTTATGGTTGTTATGGCTGATTTATAGTTTCCGAGTACTTCTGGATAATTACGTTCATCAGGTACTTATATCGAAAATTCTAAATGCAAGAAAGCGTGAAGGTTTTCGTCAATGTCACTTATTACCTTTTGGGACCTATTTCTCATAATTTAACCTATAAAGTATACAAAAAAAAATTCATATGCATTACTCAATAAATAAAACGACTAAAATTTTAATCATTTAATAAAATTAAATAAAAATATATTTTTAGTTTTTAATCTTTATTATATAATAACTTTGTTTTTTTATAATAATATTGTTAAATTTACGATTACCGTATAATCAAAATAAGAGCTAAATATTTTCCTTTGATATCTATTATGACATTACAAATTTAATTTTAGTTTAACAATTAGACATCATAATATTTTTAATGAAAAAAAAAATAGAGATGAAACATTAAATTGATCGCAAGAACCTTTTCATATGTTTATCAAAAGAATATTTACATTTATATAAATATCTGATATCACCGAGTAATATTATAGCTACTATATATAACGGATGCAATATAAATGTCTTATGTAAAAACAATGTTACAACTCTACGGTAAAAGTTGGCTCATCTAATTCATAAAAAGCTTCTTCTTGGATGTTGCATCTGCATGATTTGGTTTAATCTAAACTTTTAAAACCGTTATTGCCACAAAATGGTTAGTGAATAGTTATTTAACTCTCGAAGGTAAACGTCCATCGAATACGCAAGGACGTAACTGATGCATGGGACTGTAGGTACTTGCAGATATCGTACATCCATTAAGTTCACGACGACAACGTTCTATTTGACAACTGCATTCTTTGCATCTATAACGCCTTGTGGTGGGTGCAGCCCATATATAAAAAAAATATATCTGTGGTGCAAATGGTAAGATAATAAACGGAATCCTATACAAATTCAAACAAACCTATGTAGAATTAGATGATTTGTATAAATATTCCGAGTGTCCGAGTTAATTTAAAAATATTTATTCGTCAATTTTTTTTTTTTTGCTTTTTTAGATATATGGTAGAATTGAAAGGCTAAAAATATTATACAAATATACTGTTTATACATAGTGCACCAGCAATTTAATTTGAATCTTCATATTAAAATTATAATTTTTTTTTTTTGTTTTGAAGAATGCAATCTGATGTCATTTGCATGTTTTCATTTTCATTTCATATTAACCGTAGCATATATGAGACCATATAGATATGTGTAGCTTTTCAGACATTCATCTAATTACGATTGGTGCCAAGATAAGCGTGGCAGCTTGGGCAATAGTGATCCATGCTTTGACAGGAATCCATATAGTATGGAAGACAGCAGCAACACCACAAACTAAAAAGATACAAATAAAAACTTTATTAATAAAACAAGACACGTAATCTTTGAATTCACAAACCTTTCCTGTAATAATATAAAAAGTATCATGTTTGAACCAGAATGGAGGTCTTGTAGTTATCAACCATTGCTTGCGCACAAGCTTCCCCGTGCATGGAATTAAATTGAATCGAAGAAGGATAATGGGCCATAATCCACGCAGGCCCAGTATCATTGGTGGGTAAATAATATATAACTACATACAGATAATCAAATCCCTGTAGCAATTTAGCAATTTAGCCCATCATTTAGCTAACGAATATTAAATCAACTTAAATTGGTATTAGAGAAAAAATACATTATTTCACATTAGTAACGAAAATGTGACGTAAAAAAATACTCACCCAACCGCACACATTGCAAGCGCAATCAAGTGCGTTTTAGTTGTGGTCCTTCTTTCCGTTCTAGTTACAATCTGTTTGTTGCAGCTTCTGCAGACTGTTGACGTTGGCTTACTACCTAATAATGGTATCGCTTGGACCATGATTGCATTAGCGGGAGCGACATATGCCATAGCAGCCACCGGTTGTTGCTCCACTGGTGCGCCATCTCGAGTGCCGGAATATGGTGGTGGTTGTGGCTGAGGAGACGAGTCAATTGGGACACTTGCTGAAAATTCGAAAATATCTTTAGTCGATAAAAGCTTCTGAGTCATGTACGCCTAGTGATCAATTAATACTTATTTTGATTTGAAATTTTAAGGCAATAGGATCGTCTGAAAAGTTACAGGATCGGATATCAGAAAAGCATGCAAAATTTATCAAAAATATATAGAAATATTTTTACAAATATTTAAACTTTCGATAAAGATGAAAATTTGTTCTAATTATTATATTTGATCAATATTGCATTCACAATGCTTTACTGGAAAATATTCTTAATGAAGAATATTTGTAAAAATGTTTCTTACGGATTGCCTGAACATTAATGAAAATATGTTCTGTAGTAGCGAAAAGGTAACAATTGCTTGAAAAATTCTTCAGTCCTGTTAGGTCCTGGGTAGCTCAGTGGTTAGAGCAGTCGCATTATTGCGAAAGGTCATGGGTTCGAATCCAAAGGGTTTTTAAGCTTTTTCATTAAGAAAATCTTGTTAAGTTGAGTTTGCTGTTAAACGATTAGTATTAATTTATCGTAGTAACTATTTGAGGTCAGCCAAGCTATTGTTTTTTTAGTGAATCATAATTGTCTTATCAGAAATGAAATTTTATTAGTTTTCATATCAGTGACATTATCTCAAAAAAAAGCCATAAATATATTTATATCGAGATGGTAAGTCTTTTTAAATGTATGTGAGTTATTTCGTGTTAAAGATAAGATTATATACTATGATAAGAAAAAGGAATAAAAATAACTATATGAATACAAATAGATAGCTAATGTAACATTACTAAAAAAAAATATAGTAAATTAGTATATCACTATAAATTTATTTGAGTGCATTTTGGATCATGTAATGTTTACAAAAATAAAAAGATATCAAGAATTAACTTTAAAGTATAGTAACTAACTATCCTCAGTATTGTATGAATGAAATAATAACTTTTGTGTAAACTATTGTTAATTTAGATATGTAATGATGTAAAAATACGTGGCACTATGTACAAACCTTAGTGGTTTTATAGTTTAATTTAAACAATAACATTGTATTATCACAATCCGTGCCGACAGATGGTCAAAGTTAATAACAGTCGTTAAGAGATATATTTATAACTTTTTAGTATTGAATTTATCATATTATATATCTTCTAAAATACATATTAAATTAAAACTACTTATCTAAACTTAAAACAATAACTAAACTAAATTAAAAATGTCTCCCAGATCATTGCCTACAGGTAAGGTACCCAGAAGGCTGCGAGCGTTACCTCTTTGAATAGCTAAACTAATTCTTTGGGCGAGGTACAAACCAGCCTTCTGATCACCTGACCTGTCAAAAAGTTTCTTTTTTAACTCTTGATAAAGACGATGGGCTCCAGGGCCCCACGGACCCATCGTTTCGACCCCAAACGGCTCAAATATGTAGGTATTACTTATACCTCAATATTTTCGCCGTTTGAGGCTTTCTGCAGCAGCGGCGGCTACACCCGCCTCAAGACATGTTCGTGGAAGATGAGTTGGCGCCAAAGTATCAACGCAGGTGGCATCCCATACTAGGGGTCGACCCATCCTCCAAGGTACCAAAGACATCCCATCAGGTCTCTTACCGTCGTCGCGAGTCAGCCCGTTCGGTTCTAGAATGGCTGGCACTGACGCCGTAGCAAGAGCTCGACGGATAATATCATTGATACTTGCATGTCGAGAGATACGACCGGCACTTCTGCTACAAGATAAGCCGTGATGACCTAAAGAGTCCACCGTTTCACCGCAAGGGCAAAGATGTGGGAGATTACAGGTTGCCCCCAGGCGAAGACAAACTGAAAGGCGAAAAGTTGTATTATCTAGAAGTGTCCCAACAGTCGATGACGGCAATACTTGTAACCAAAGACCGGATTCCCACTCAGCGACAGCTAAGAGACGAGCATGCTCTGCAGAATTGGCAGACGTGTTTAATAGATCATTCCGTACCAATTTACAGAGCGGCTCGTCCCAATGTTTTTGAGCTGTCATTACTGTTGGAAAATCACTTCCAGATAATATCTCCCAAGCAGTTTTTGCCTCGGCCATATTGGAGATAGCAGCAGCTGAAGATGTTTTAGACAATATTTTTTTATTCAGGTCATAGGTTATATATATATCATATATATCATACATTGTATATAATTGTTTGGATTGCTAAATAAAATAAAAAAAACTGTTAAGCTTTAAAATATAAAGTTGGATTGGCGTTTAAGAAAATATAATGTTATTAGTTATTTGTTTCTTGTTATTCTTTATCATTGATTATAAGAAAATATTTGCATGTTGACGACATAATGTACTAGCCCCGAATAGTGTACATTTACCTTATGGAAAGAAAGAAACAAAGCAATTATGTTTATTGTCAAGCAAGCTTCAGATCTGTGGGCGTAAGAATTCAGCTGAGCCTACTAACTTTGATATTCTGCTGAAGCCAACAGTAACAGCACTATCTACAGAAGTACAAAAAAAGTTATATTCGAATAAAAACTCTAAAAAGAAAACACAATTTCATTAATTAGACTGCGTTTATAGAGATCACAATACTTTGTTTAAAAAACTATTAAAACTATTTAAGTTACTCACATTTTTCCGAAGCCATGGTTGCGCAAATAGAAGATTACGACGTTTTATTATTATATCTTTTAGTAACTTCCCGAGTTTATACGGCGAATGCTATGTACCTATTGATCTGTTTTTTAGTATAACCTATCTACGTTTATCGCATTCAGATAACGTCAAAATAAGATATGCAGTTTTATTATATACTTTCGTTTTCGAAAGTAGAATGAGTCATAATTTAGCTGTTTTCCCGCGACTTTGCCAATATAGATTATTGTTTATGTCTATGTCACCGTATTATGTAGAAAATATTTTTTATAATCGGTATAGTTATTTCGAAGCTTATTCAATGAAAACAAAACCAATAATAAAATCATTCCGCTTTATTATATTAGTATAGATCAAATAACCCTAAACATAATATATTACCTTAATCAAGCAGTCGTGTAAAAAAGAGTAGGTTTTCAATCCGGCGGAATGTATTTTTTATTTATGTGCCATATTGTAGTAGTAAGAAATGTTCTGATGATTATTTTAGAAATTTTTTCCTTTTTATTCGAGAGGTTCCAAATAAAAATTTATCGAAATTGGATCAGTAGTTTTGTTTATAGATCAAAAAATACAAGATTAAATCGTATAAATTATATTTACTATACATTTGTCACAAAAAAATTATAAATTATAATAACAACAAAGGCCGTTAATAAATTCAATAAACTTCATTTGAAGTCTGGTAGTCAAAAGCATAGACATGAAAGTCATTTCGATTCAACGACGAATTTCATTGAATCTGTTATTCGTCTTTGATATTTTTATGTAAATTAGTTTGATTTTTTTGAAGTCAGTTTTAATTTTCAGGATTACTAAATACTTTTCTAAATTTTTTGTTCTGAAAATTATGACAATTTGTCGTTTTCATGGTAAATGTAAGTTAAATAAAATTCCCACTTTCGAAACAACTGTAAAAAGAAGAAATTGGTGGGCACAATACAAATTAAAAAAAAATAAAACTTGTTTTAAAATAAAATTGACAAATATGATTAATTTCCCTCTGACAATTTCTTTTCGCGTACAATCTTAGTGCTTCTCGGAAATGAATGTGCTCGATTAGACTTGCTACAAACAAAATTCATAAATTTAATAGGCCGGGGAGATGATAACACCCGAAACTCCTAAATATAATATGTTTCTCGCCTTCTCATTCTTTTATATTTCGTTTCGCCAAAAGGGCTCGGACTGACTTCTCAGCGTGAGTCTGTCCGGCCTATAATCAAAGACAAAATAATATCTTTACACTATATTTATAATTACATTGTCGATTTACATCGTAGCTTAAATTGAACAAAGAACACAGATAATATCATAACTGCCAAGTTTATGGTAACATCCAAGTGGAATAAGCAAAGTACTTTATATGATTTTTTGTCTCTTTAACGGTCAGTTGCACAAACGTCCATTAAGGTTTAATGTCGCCTTTAAACGCTAATGAATGTCAAATTTGCTTGGGTAATGTCATTTTAAACTAATAAAAATTTTAATGGACGTTTGTGCAACTGGCTGTTAATCCACTCATTGCAGACGTAAACATTAACTCCTTTCTATTACACATATTCTACTGTACTACGTTTTTATGTAGAGACTTTATATCAGCGACATCTGTCTCCCCATGCTTACATCACAACATATAACCAAGAGCAAGAAGTAGTGTCACCGTAAAATAATAAAAAAAAACGTTATATTCAAATGTGTCTCGTTAGATTATAAACGATCGTAGGTTTAAGTTAGATTATAATTCTAGTAGGATTATAAATTAGCGGCGCATATGTTGACATATGCAATGTATGAAGCTCGCATTACGCTTACATTTTTTGAGACAACGCGAGTGTGTACACAAAAAATAGCTATATTATTTTCCAAGAGTTTTTGATACAATAAGCCGTAGTCACTAGTGTGACAATAATAAATATTTTTTCTCATAGTCACACAACTTAAAAAATATCACAATTTACTGAATTATGTTTATTTAGTATCGTTAAGCAGATAATGAAATATGCCAAATACCTACAATCAATAGTAAACAGTCTGGTATCGATGATTTTCCTTATTAAATATATTCCTTAAAAGAAGAAAGGGGAAAACGATTTATAAGAAGTAAAAATCTCAGAGTACCGACAGAGTGGATTTTTAAGTATTTTTCATTAAGAATGTTTTCCAATATAGCATTGTGAATGCAAAATTGATCAAATATAATAATAATTAAATATTACACAATATCACATACATTGTTCAGATTCCAAGATGAGTAGTCAAGCCCCTGTATTATGGAGTATCTGAGACAACGAAAGTAACACAACACCCAGACCCGACACAATATAGAAAAGTTCATTTTCTACATTGACCCGACCGGGGATCGAACCCGGGACCTCAGAGATGGCGACACTTTGAAATCGGCGTGCGAACCACTCGGCTACGGAGGTCGTGAACATTTTAATTGCATTTCGAACTACCTGTTCCTTTGTAAGCGCAAGGCGGCGCAACCATTGCCTGATGGAGTGAGTCAGTAGATCCCATAAAAAAATACTTCTTTAGAGTTCATGAAACGATTTCTTCAGAGTATATCTCTTATTTTTGGAAATATATAAAAATCATAAGATGCCAGTCATGAGTAACTCGATGGCGTAGAGGATAAGCGCCGTGGCCCGCGATCGTAGTCGTTAAGCAACTTTCGCAAGGGTCGGTCACGGGATGGGTGACCAAAATATTATTATCTCGAGCTACTCTGTGCTTCGGAAGGCACGTTAAACCGTTGGTCCCGGCTGCATTTGCAGTCGTTAATACCCTCCAATCCGCATTAGGCCAGCGTGGAGGTTCATGGCCTATCCTCCTTAATCATCCATAAGGAAGGCCTGAGCCCCTGCAGTGGGGACGTATAAGGGCTGGTGGTGGTGGTGATAAGATGCCAGACGGGACGGAATGATGTATGAATTACTTAATCACCTACGACAGATATTCCTGGTCCAGCGAACGAAATACATTGGAGCGTAATCGTAGAAGGAGAGGATTTTTGCACAACTGATTAATAATGACAGAATACCAATCTGTAAGTACTCTTATTGTATATTTTTATAATCTATGACAATTGTTTTGCAACTACCTGTTCATCCCTTTCGGTTTGGCATTAAACAGTTCGTCTGTTAGTTTTGAGTTAGTAGCAGTGTATCCATCTACGTTAATTAATGTAAGTGATTTTTAATGTCAATTTTTTTTCATAATAAGAAACTAATTAATACTGACTTTTTAATCCAAGTTATAATAAAATAATTGCTTGTCGATCTGTATTTATTGATAGATAATTATTAATATTTTTTTCGCGAGGTAAATAAATTTCTCGTAGTCATACCAGTGTAACCATGAGTGCGTAGGCTAAGTTTGCGAGGACCAGTGGCGTAGCTACCAAGGGGCTAGGCGGGGCAGTGCCCCGGGGCAGTGCAACGTATCTACGAATAAATAAATATCTAATAAACCCTTAAATCTTTTCTATTTCGTTTTATACCTACATCAAGTATAAAAATAATTGTAATTTATGTTGTAAGTGTTTAATACTTTTATTACCTGCCCATGCACGAAAAACAGCTGTTGATAAAGTTGCTTAGCATTTTTAAAGTATATGTATATTTAATGAGTTTACTTCAAAAACCTAACAGTTTTGATAGCAGTGGGCCCCATTTTTTTGTTTGCCCCAGGGCCCTAGTTTACCTAGCTACGCCACTGGCGAGGACAGTTAGTTATAAACATAAATTATAAAACAGTTTTAGTGTAAGGTAATTTACTCAATAAATAAACTTGCATAAATTTATAAAAGCGTAATATTAAGTTTACTTAATTTCATTACGATAGCTTAGTTTATTAAATCTTACGTAATTAAAACTACTATAATTAATATTTACAACTCCATATCTGTAACAAATTAATTAACAGCGATAAATAACAAATTACAATCCAAACTTATTTTTAATTATTAAACAATTAAATTTAAGTTAATTAGAAACTCCAATGTAGGCATTGCAATTAGGACAGTAGTGATCTACGCTCTGGCATGAATCAACGCAGTACGGGATACACACACAGGGCCACAACCTAGAAATAGACAAAGAAAACCAATGTTACTAGGATTGAATTGAATATAAGATATGTTATATAAATATAAGACAACATCACATATAAATCTCGGATCCTAAATTAAATAGCTTAACCACTTGTATTATGGAAATCTGAAACAACGAAGGTACCACAACATCCCAAGACAATATAAAAAAATATTTTATACATACAGATTTCGAGAACTGAACCCGGGATCAGAGATAGCGATACTGAAACCAGCGTGCGAGCCATTCGAATATGGAGTTTTATAAATAAAGTCTAATTTTTTTTATATATTTAATTAGAGTATATAGCAATTAAAATGATTATTGTCAATGCAGTGACAATACGTGTTATCTGTAGTCATGTTTTTTACAGTAAATATTTACTTTTGAATATAGCAGCCAGTTGCACTGGTTAAACTTCTACTCAAAATGAAAATTTTACGTACAAAAAATCCTGTTCCATAGATGTGACTTAGAAATATAATTTGAAGTAAATTTTATTACACTTAGTAGGATTACTGTCACTTCATCGACATGGAAGTTATAGTTTCTATAAGGGTATCATTTCAACCCTGTCATATAATATACGTAAAACCATAAGAGTGGCCTGTATTTAGCTATCAAAGTTAAGTAGAACCAATAACACACCTGACAACTAAACTATATTGACCGCTTTATTGAGTTTTCTCTAGTTACAAAGGTTCCATTATAGGACAACTACTTTATAGATAGATAATTTGATCTGGAAAAGTGATACTTTATCCCTGAGTTTTATTATTTTAAATTTTGATGTTGTATTACTTTATTTATTTTAAAGGAGAATGTTATGGATCAATGTATATGTATAGGTATATAAAATACTGGCTGTTTCCCGCGGCCTCGCCCGCTTAATTTATAGCAATATAATGTAGCATTTCGTAGGTGAAAGATATTTTAAAATCGGCCTATTCGATGCAAACAAATCCTATCTATTTATAAAATGATATGTACGATAAGAAAGTAATAAACTCCAATGACGTAGAACTATGACCCAACTTACCCTAATACACACAAAAGAAGGGCGAACAGATGAGTTTTCGTATTTGCTTTCACTTGAGTTCTAGTCATAATGTTCATATTACAACTTCTGCAGATATATGACGAGGAATTGTGGCCCATAGATCTGACTATTTGCACCTGTGCCACTGGCACGACCACGGGGGTCGCGGCGACGTATGTCACAGTACTGGGTCCTGCTTGAGTGCCGGAGTATGGTGGAGGTGGTGGCTGGTTGTTGACGAAGCTCACGCTGCTTGGGTCCGAAGGCATCGCTGAAAGTAGAGATTTATAAAATTAAAATCGAGAAAAGTCAATAACAAATATCTCTCAGATTCTTTACGAATCATTTATATCGATTTCATTTATTAAATAATTAATCGAGGACTAATCGAAATCCTATCGGGCATAAATGTCAAATTTCCATATTGATATTACTAATTTTATACAAATTTCCAGTACAAAAATTGGATATTTATGCTCAATAAGAGCATGTAGCTCGGTGGCGTAGTGGATAAGCGCCGCGGCCCGCGATCGTTGTCGTTAAGCAACTTTCGCAAGGGTCGGTCACGGGATGGGTGACCAAAAAATTATTATCTCGAGCTATTCCGTGCTTCGGAAGGCACGTTAAGCCGTTGGTCCCGGCTGCATTTGCAGTCGTTAATACCCTCCAATCCACATTGGGCCAGCGTAGAGGGTCATGACCCATACTCATACTCCTTAACCATCCATAAGGAAGACCTGAGCCCCTGCAGTGGGGATATAAAAAAGGGCTGATGATGCTCAATAAGAATTCAACATTTTAAGTGCTAATGATACAGTAAAATAAATCATAAGCAAAACTACGCTTAATAATGCGTTTCTGAACGGCCTTCATAAAGCAAACACGATAGTTTGATAAGTATCAACCGTAAACGCACCACATGACTAAAATTTAATCACTATATTAGATAATTATATACGAATTCGAAAATAACAGCACTACTCCGACATTTCTTATTTCTTTTTCCTCCTGTTTATATAGGCGATTTCGTAATACAAAAAATACTCATAGTAATAATGATAATTATTTTAAGGTTACATTCAAAGTGTACATCATATTTTTTCCGTCAACGATATACATAAATATTAAAGACAACGTCACATTGCTCAGATTCCAAAATAAGTAACTAGTTAAAGTTTTGTTTCTACATTGACCCGATCGCGAATTGAACTGGGAACTCAGAGATGGTGAAGCCGGCATGCGAACCACTTGGCTACTGAAATAAGGTCAGTCAACAATATTTATCTATATATTAATGTATATTCTTTATCCTATGATCATATATAGAACAAATCTTTATAAGTACCCTTTTTATAAATAATATCTGTAATAATTTTATGGTACTCACATTTTTCTGCCATTTTGACTATCACAAAGTAAACTACACGACAATGTTGACACTAGTACGAATGGTAAGAACTTGAAAATATTACTGCAGCTATCTGTTGCCACTCATCACCTTTTGAAAGGGAATGATAACGATATATCAACTTTCAACGTTTCACGTTTTTTATCTAAGAGATAAGATAGTCGATTGAAGTACAGAATATGAATAACGCTTTTTAATAAAATTTATTTAGTATTTTTCATGGATTACGGGGATGGTTTGTAAAGTTGTCGGCCTGACCGAGATTTGAGGGTAGTATGTAAACCAATTTATTGTCATTCGACAGCTCGATTTTTTATTTAATCGTTTATTAAGTCACCCTCGTGTATAATGTAAGCATATAAGAAAGCAATTGAAATCTTTGCAGTCGCGTAACATTTTATTAAAGTAATAAGACATAAAAATATGTACCTTCATCGATTGTGGTTATATAAATGTATGTCGCAAAAGTTCATTGGTATATCCAATGACAATAAGATTTCCGTTAATATATCCTGGAGCTTTTTATCGAAATTAAAAAATGAGTTTATTTTACACCACATTCAAATCGAGGGTTCTCAAGAAATTTGTATTTAAGTGGTAGTCTAGCCAATATTGACTTATATACGTTTTAGGAGTCGTCTCATTTTCTTGCACCTTATCGCGGTTTTATGGCATGATCTAAGTATTTTTTTAGCACTTGCGCAAATTTATAACAGTAAATTTGAGGCTGGGGTGAATCAGCTGGCGCTCGGATTGCGAAAGTCATGGGTTCCAAGTGCCAAGGACTAAGTGGAATTTTCAAGCAATTTTCATTAAGAATGTTTTTCATGAGCATTGTGAAAGTAAAATTAATTAAATATAACTTATTGAAAACTGTTTTGAATTTTTCTCCAACTTATTATAAAATAGAAATAATAAATTCCTCTATAATCTTTCCCTAATCGTGATTATATGTATGAATAGAGTTTATTTTCTAGATTACCTATTTTTTGTACTCGATATCAATACGATACTAAAATTGATTCATCGAAATCGTCATATCCTGTTATGATAATTACCAGAGGAAGTCATACGTAATCGAGAATAGGGAACTCCTTCTGTTCGAACCAGTGTAGTAGAATGGCAATGAGCTACATTCTCTTGATTCGCCATCTAAGGAAAATTTCCTGAGCTGCTTCAAGGAATTCTCCTCCGTGAAAGAAAACAACATATGTTCCCCAACTAGGCGATATTAATAGGCTGGTCAGTTGCCAGGGCTTATCTAATGAGGATGAGTTTGCCGAATATACCAAACGCGTTAAGATCAACGGCTCTACCGCGTAACTTAATCTGTCAAAATGAATGCTTAAGAATAATCAGGCTGACTCTTAATTTTGTAATTTTGACTTTTTGACGTCTCAGCTATCTAATTTAACATTTAGTTATGGATGTAGTCTTGCCTTATATTTATAATTAGTTTTTGACAGTTATACCCTAAATAAGTAAATATTGGGAAGGCCTTAAACACTATTTTATATTTTGATATAGACGATTGGACATTTTCTTATACGCTATTTTACTAATTACACATATGCCATTCAATATTTTTTAAATTTGAAAGTAACATTAACATTAGTTTATTTATGCATCTCTGTTAAGAAGGACATAAATACATATAACGAATTTTAATGTTTTAAATAACACAACAAAAGCTTAAATTTTGCACTGTTTAAGAAAACTATTGAACCAACACTCGTTTTCACTAAACTAGGACAAGGCATAGCTTAACGAGGTATTAGCAAATCTAAAGAATCGCCTAAGGTTAATTTTAAATAGTCTTTTTTTTATCACTTGACACATTTGTGATCTATCATATAAAGCAAATGCACAGCGCAATTTAAAAAAAAATGTAAGAAATTGATTAAATGAAACTGAACACACGTTGATGACGTGTAATTATTATAATTATTATATAATAATAATTTCAATAATTGATTAATTATCGCCACTTCTTTCACTTTCATTATACAGTAACGAACTTTATTTTAATTAATTCCCATTATTGGAATTAGTTTAATAAATAAATAAAAATCATCTTTTGTATTACCTATAAGTCATTTAATTATTTAATTACAGGTTACTTACATATGTTTATATTTTCAATACCATACCATATCTACATAATTAAAGCAATAAACTTATAAACTAACAAAACAACTCTCAAGATTTCAATAACAAAAAGTATTTTTTGTCGAGCTCGGGAAAATTTCAGTTAAGTAAACTATAATGTATATACTAACAGGAAAAGAAATGCCTATGCTCTTTATTGTATTATTACAGTTTTTTAAGGTATACTTTAATTACCTACTTACTAATTAATATATTTAAATACAGCACCAAACGAATAAATGATATATAGAACAAAGACGAATGTGCCTATAGCTTGGTCGTTATTATATTTTAAGGTAATACTTTGTGGTATGATAAGAATAGACATTATGAATAACGTATTAAAGGAAGATAAAAGCTTGATCACTAATAAAATATCGACAGTGATATAAAAAATATAGTGTGCAAAATATTTAATGAGGTCATATATGGTTCGAGTTGAAGGAAGATTAAATACGCAGAATAGCAAGATAGACTATAAGTGGAAAAGAAAGGGGAAAGTATTGTATTAATAATTACCGTAAAATATTACCAAAGTAAAATGAGATAAACATAAGCCAGTGATGATGAATCACTTTCGTTAATACATCTCAAACTTTGTGACAGAATTTGACAACATAAAAATTTAAAGCAACGGCGCCGACATATCGGGGTCAGAGGTGAATGATAGCAATCCCGTAAATAACTATTATTCTTATCTTAATGACCATGACATGACATTTAAAACAACATAATATCTATATAAAATATAACACTAAACGGATACTAGCTGAGGCAGGCATAATTGCACTTTACAATTGAGTACTAGCAACTAGAAAATATAAATAATGCAAATCTAAATTGTCTTTTAATATATAAATGAGAAATAGAAATGCTCGACTCTTAAGCATAAGGACTCTTTGTAAAACCAGTAGATTATCGAACTTATTCACTAGTTTAATCACATTTTCACAGTTATGTCCAATGTTATCAAAAATGATCTACAGTGCTATTCTGTTTTAAAAACAGACTCGAACTTGACGTCTATTACATAGCATACCAAATAAAACTTTATATTAAAAAGCAATAAAGGTTTTTAACGTCGAGTTCGAAGCTGTTATGTAATACTATAACTTAGCTGATATTAAGTTATATGATGTTATAGTTAGTCTTAGATCATACAATTAGGCTTGACACTGGAGAGCTTGCAAGTGCTTGCGGGAGACGACTGCGCATGTCATACACCCAGTTTTTGAATTGAGAATTTAAAGTTAAGAACGTCTCAAACTATACTAACTAGACTTTTTGACTTGTGAATCGTGAAAAACTTAAGTTACTGGGAATAATCAGATGAGATTTTGTACTTTTCTCAATTCCGAAACCATCCGATAACTAACTTCAGAACCGCAAAGTTAGATGGCAGTACGATTAAATATAATTTACCTGCTTTAAAAGTTTCTGTAAAATTTAAAAACAAAAATGTACCAATTCTATCCTACTCTGAACTTCTCTAAAATAAAATAAATCTTATTTTAATTTGAGTTTGTTTAACACAACCCGTACTTGCATGTGACTTGTAATCAAAAACATCTTATACACCAACATAATATAATATATATACTGGAATATTTAGTTATTAACAGTTTGACAGAATTAGAAGTTAAGATGGTCAACTACTGCCTCAGTATGCACGCATCTATTTTCGATGTCATACGTCCTCACATGCACATTATCTATAGATGCTTCTATGAAAAATGCGACTGTCAGTTTTGCATCCGAATCATGTTGATAAAATAAATCATAGTAATTTTTAATATAATCCATTGTGTGTCGTGCGGCCCGTGCGTGTGTGCTGACGTATGGACGTTCACCTTAAAACTTTAGTTTGTGCACAGTAGTGTCAAACTTTTTCGAAAAATATTGAACTTTAACGGTCTTTGTCTAACAGTATAAAATATACATAAGTAAGAGCAGGATAGACTATAAAACATTACTCGATATATCTAAAGTCAATTTTAAAAGTTAAAGTCCGTAAACTAACGAGTCCCATAGTTTTTAATGATCATGCTCTTTTACTCGCTCTTTTCAATAAATTTTATTACAGTCCATTATTTTATAAATAATTAAAACTTGTAGGAGCCGATGTAGGTATTACAATGGGGACAGTAGTGGTCAGCATTGTTGCAAGAATCAACGCAGTAAGGGAGACACGTGCACGGCCAGAACCTAAAATAAAAAGACGAAACAGGTTTAATTATAATCCAGAAATTCTAACGGAATTTCTGGAGCTCAAGGTAACAAAAAACTACAGTAACTTTATGTATAAAGAAATTAACTATCTCCCAACTTTATACTAAAGGAACAATCAGTCATAAAATCCGTCAAGCCGTCTTACAGTGTTAAGAAGCCCTTTCTTAATTAACCATGTTTTTATTTCTGATGAAACTTGAAAAGTAATAACCTATGAACTGATTTATACAGTCAGCTGTATTTATACATAAGTGACAATTGAACAAACCTGAACCAAAACCAAAACTAACAAGACTACAATGCGACGCGGCCGGGTTTAGCTAGCTAACTAAATTGTTGCTGTAGCATGTGTCAATTTAAAACAGCATGAAGGAAAAATGCGTAAGAGGAGATTGACTATAGGTACACCAGATTACCTATAGGAAGTTGATGCGAACAAAACGAAATAAAATTCTAAAAGGGTCAAATCATGCGTCTAAAAGGGTCTGAAGGAATAAATTGGCATGCTTTTATTATTTATAAAATCTCGGCAAAAATGCAATGTTTCCTGTAAATTTTAATGATCAATTTATTCTCATTATTAATCGTCTGCTTTTATTTGTCTGATTAACGGACCTCGCACGATTTCATCTCATTTTGTCTTCACTTTTATGCGCATTCTTACCAAATTATTTTTGAGAATTTTTTTACTTACATTTAGTTAGTAGTTTTGTACAAAAATTATGAAGATTTAAGAACGATTGAAATACGATTAGTATTAATTCTTAATTGTCTTATACTATATAGGAATAGATGGAAAGATGGACGAGGTTAACTCTACATTAACTTATAAATAGACCACGGTGCGGCAGTTTCACCGCATAGTCAACGATAAACGATCGAGTAATGCACTGAAAAAAATCACTAATATTCAAGTTTATTTTGGATAAATAGAGAAATGAGAATAAAAATGTGTAAATGTTCTTAAGCCGGGTATAAGAAGGTTTTAATAAAAACTTTAATGATCAGATTTTATGACTAAGTTTCGTCAATTATATTGTTAGCATATTTGAAGCTTGCCTTATTATAGTAAGGATTAAATAGTTTTCATTTAAAAGAAAAACTAGACTTGTTTTTGTTTTGTTTGTTTTGATACTGACGGATAAGGTATTAAAAGACCAAGTTACAAATACTCACAATAACAAACATAAGACCGCCATAACGTGTGTTCTACAGGAAGGTGACCTGTCTACTCTCGTGACAATCTGATTAAGGCAAGAAGGACAAGTCATGAGGGTGGGGTCAGATCCGATCAAGCCTGTACTGGTAACCGTGACCGTTTGCACTGGGTACATGACCGGCACGGGCTGGATCACGGTGGGCTGCACTATCGTCGGCTGCACCATTGTGGGCGGATGGTGTACCATAGTCGGTGGCTGTTCCGTATACGGAGGCGGTTCTGGAATTTTTAAAATAAATTCGTATTGTCATTGATTTATATCGGGACAAACAAACAGTCTACAGTCTCTCACAGGCGTCTAAGACGGTAAGCGAACTTCTATCCAACTCTATCAATAGAGCCACCTGAGACCACCACGAGAATGTGTAATTCAGTAGTATAGGACGTAACCAAATAGGGGATATTATCCCAAAAATGAAATACTGATATTACTTTCCAATTTATTTTCTACATAATTTTTAATAGACATTGAAGTAAAGTGAGTAAATTTGTATATTATAAGGAATAATAGCGCGTTTACGATGGCGCGACAGACGAGATATTATAATCATTAGTACATTGCTTTTCCTACTAAAACCAAGATTTACCCCGAATAAAAAGCAATATTTCTGTAAACAATCCTGAACTTTATTACTAGCTAATTAAAGTTTTAATTCAATTAGACGCGTTTGGCCTTTTACTGTAACCATCGTACTGTCGACTGTGCAAAATGACATCATTAAATTTAATAAACCTGTGTAATGATTGTTCAAGGATGACAATTACTATATTGATAACTTTCTTGACTCAAGAACGTTAAGCTGACATGACCCACAAATGAATGTAACTTAGGTATATAGATACGAAGGTAGACACGAGTAATGTGTTATTATACATATGTAAGTTTATCAATCATTCTTCTGCATATATAATTATAGTTCTACTAATGTTCTTATGAATGTATCAATTTCAAAAGATAGAGAAAATGTTATGGCTCGAGAGAATTCTTTTAATACGAGCATTCGCTAATAATTTCTTAGAAATGCTTAATAATATCTACTTCAAATCTACAGCTAAATAATTTATTTGGAAGATGTGGTTTTTTCAAAACATTGATTGTATCATTAATATTGTGGTTTCAATCAACCAATATTAATACATGTGTACGATAAAAGATATCATGACATTAATTTCAAAGAAATTATATGAATACTTATCAAATTAATGTTGATTATTTTATATCTGTTTTGATAAAAGAAAAAATATTCGATTAAAAATTATGAAAATGAAATGTTTACAAAATCAGTATTTTATTTGTATTGTTAGAAAAGAATAAATCAAAAGAAAAGTGAATAGAACGTAAAAATATAATCAAAGCTCTACGGTTCAAAACATATAACTTAAAAAATATCAATAAAAAAATTAATTACGAGTCATAGTAAATTCATGAGTCATGGCATAATCAAGAAGTTATATTGAGATATTTCACAATGAATTTAAAAAAATTACACTCTTGTGCTACTGTACGCTATTATAGTTAATTTGTCACATTAACTGGTTTATGATTTCGTCATGTTATGCTTTTACTTAATGTTCTTGATAAAGATTTCTCCATTATATACTCTCCGCACTTGAAGAATTACTAACTAACATGTACACGACACGTAATAATTAAAATCAGTGAAAATCAGACATTTAGATACATTAAACATGAACAACACAATCACATTTTGGTTCAAATATGTAAAAGAATAACTTACGTTCTCGATTTGGCTGCATTATGGTAAATAAACAATAACTTCAAATTAAAAGGAAAAGTGACAAAGTATTGCTTGTAAAATAAAATGGCACTGACTGGTGTGTTACGTCTGGCCGATACTGAAAATCTACCGATAACACAATATCAACTCTACTGATATTAAAATCTGTATTATCGCGAACATTACATTATACCTTCGTTAGTTGGAATGTACTTAAGGCAAGATCGATATGTATGTGAAATATCTTTTTAAATATATTTGCAAACATTGGTAAGGGCCAGTCATCGGGTGCTATAGAAGAAGGAAGCTGGGTGCCCTGACGACTCTTTTTCTGAGTTTTGATAGTTGTCGCGTGCCCGACGACAAAGATTGTGTTTCAAGCAAAGAGAAGGTGCTTTATATCTAATCATACTATTAAATGAAAAACCTCCATAGCTGAATTGTTTACACTCCGGTTTCGAATTGTCGCCATCTCTAAGGCCCCGGATTCGATTCGAGTAAATGTAGAATTTTTAATTTTCTACATTGTTTCGGATCTGGGTGTCGTGGTACCTTCATTAAATCAGATACTCCACAATACGAGGGCTTTAGCTACTCATCTTAGTACCTGAGCAATGTATGTGATGTTGTCTTACATTTAGAAATTTTTGTGTAAATGAACGTTTACGTTTCAGATAGATGACCGAGAAATATTATTTGGAGATTCTATATGTATGTATGTACCTAGTCTGTAACACCCACCAATCATTATAGGATCCGCGTAGTGTAATTATAGCTCACTCTTCTTTATGTATCTTTCCGTGGAGATAATACGTGCAATTGGAACACTGATAGGCTGGTCGCCATCATTACCATGATTGTTATGTTTAAAAGACTTGGAGATATAGTATATCCAACAAGGGAATATCGTATAGCAAATCAAAGCAAAAAGTTTATTATATTTCGTATTTTCAGTAGTCTTTTGTGGATTGAACGCAGAATATTCCATGAATAAATTTTGCAGGGATTCTAAATCTTTTCTCTTACAATAACGATTAAACTTATTTCAAAATAAATATTCAAGTTACATTATATGGAGTTATTATTTGTATTTCCAATCTAACAGATAAAGAACATAAATGATTCAATTCTAAGGATATTATCTATTTATTATATTTGAACAATATTTTCATTCACAATGCTATACACAAAATTTTTTTTTCAATTCTCTTTAAGAATATTATCTTAATTTACTTTTCTATATTGTAAATTTAACTGTCATTTTAAGTAGAATTTATTAGACGCAGCTTTTAAATGAGATATTGAAATCTTAATAAGTATAAACTTATAAATAAGTTATCATAATTAACCAAATAACCAATTTATTCACATATTGTAATGATTTCAGATGCATACTCCAAAACACATTTCAATAAATAGTTGTAATGAATTTCATTTTCACATAAACGCAATATGAAACAAATTAAAACATTACAGAATTACTAGTATCAGAAATGAGAAGCTTTTTAAATTCAAACATTTCCTTAATGGTCCGACGAATAATGACAGGTCTAGATCATTGCCAATATAGAATTAATCTGAACCTTGTGTAGAAGATATAACGCTAACAATTTACCTGAGGTCATGTTATAGGGGACGCTGTCGGCGAACAGATAAGTTAATCTTGATGGAGAACCTATTTGACTAATGGATGGACAGACAGACAGTCCGCACCCACACCGATCGATCATTTACTACAGAAAACAAACTTTATGAAAAACAGGCGTAGACATCAAACAATGGATGGCTATGTTGCTCTGCAGATCGTACCTGGTAAAACCGAAAATAATTTTCTGATCGACTCTATGTTCTGATATTTTTACAATTTCCATGTTATATTACAATATAATATTTATATACATACAAATGTAGATTGTGTATTTTTGTAAGTCAGTCCACTTCAACTAACAATCAAATATATTGACATACACCTCAGACTACCCGGTTTACTTAATATAACTGCTATTGAATTTTTTTTCAAAAAATGAAGTTATTTTCAATTGGATCTTAATATATAATGAGAAGGTCTTTGAGGATGTTTGTATTTTTGTTATTCCTTCAAGCAAAAATGCATTAAAATGGACGACTTTTGATAAAATTTACTAAATGGAGAATCTTAAGTCTGAGTTAACGTCTTCTTTTATCCCATTATACAGTTATACTAGTATGTAATAGGAGAGAGAAAGAGAAAATTTCTTGATATCTACAAGTGCTTGTAACAGCTTTTTTAACGATAAGAAATAAGAAATGCACTTCCTAACACAGTTGGACGAGGTTATGTGTGAGTTTTTGCCGAACCCGCCTCCTATGGTGGCTCCGAAGCTAGTCAAAGGGCAGAGGTATACTCACTAGAACTCATTGATATCCCTCTCCCTCTGTATGGTAGGCCTTAACCCACGCGGATTCTATGAGGATTAATTGACATTAATAACCAAAGATCAGTCACAGTTCTAAAGCGCCAACCACTGCGCTATCAAGCTCCTCATATACCACAACATAAAATATCCTGTCGTAATCTAGTTACGTGATTGGACAACCGTGGACAAAATAAGGTTTTATCAAATTCATCGGCCTGTTTCCCGAATGTAGGTACGTGACAAGAGTAAAGATTATCGCTGAACTATTACTTCCTGAAAAGAAAAAGAAAAAAATTGTTTGAAGCTACTAAAGTTAAATATTCCGGGGTTTCAATATTTCTCTTTACGTAAGAACTTTTTATATGTTATGAAACAAGTAATAAATAGGGCATTATACATTATGTACGGTCATAATGAAAAATGGCCAATATAAGAGAACAATTTCATAAAAGTTATTCAAATAATACAAATTGACCGGGTATTATACATATAGTAGACCGGCAATTACACCTTTTGGGCAATCATATTTAATCAATAATTTTTCATTTTTAATGTCATTTTTCTTTAATAATGGATTTACTCTTGATTTCTATCTAGCCTAAGGTCATAAATGAGTTCACTCAAATTAAACTGAATATTTAACAACTGAAATAATCAGTACTAATACTTAAACAAATTAGCAAGGACTTCATACATCCAATAGTTTTTTCATTTAAAACTTATGGAAAGTAATATTAAAAATATACGTTAACATATCTCTTGCATATTCTTTTGTATATGAACAATGCTTAAAAATCTATTTAGTCTCATAGAGAAAGTGGATTGTTGTTGTTGTGGAAGAATAGTTTTCAGAATAGCATTGTGAAAGTAAATTTTTTTTTTGTACCTATGTTTCATAAAATATTATCCAGATATATTAAATTTAGACCTTATTTTATAGACATTAAAATTAAGTTTTTTCGTGACAAAATAAATGATATACCAAAGTAGGAAGATTTAAAATCTTTACTGTTATCTATTTGAAAAAATATAATATATAAATTCAAGACGCCACTTCTTCTTCCTCTTAAATTTCTAACCTATCACGTGACTTACAGAGCTAAAATAACTAAGGTTTATATAATCTAAGAGCATGTCACGCGTTCTTCCCTCACCCACAGCGTGAAATTTATATTATTATCAAATTGCCCAATTGTCATATAACACTACCATAATGATCATGCAACACGCCTTGCAAAAAAATCAAACAACTGTTTTCTTTGACAAAATACTCTTTTTATTGAGATCGTTTAATAATAACGCCATCATTTTGCTTGTGTCTAGATATTTGACTACTGTGCTTATTCTGGACTTTCATTTTAAGGGCGTAAAACAGCCTGAGGCTTTGCTTGTGCAAGATTCTACGGCTGATCCTCAAAGCAACTTAACAATCAGCTTTTCCTTGCTTTCTCAATTCAGTATTTTCAGAGAATTTTGTGCGTGACGTCAAATTAATCCATCTCTTCAATTTGTACGAGTACGTCACGAATGAATCTAATTTCGTCCACTCAGTATTTTTTCGCCTAATTTATTATCTAACTCTAATACTTTAAATAAAATGGCTGTTTTTGTGTGTTTACAGTTCGACTATATGTTTTTTGTGTGTTTGTTACGTGATTACTCCGCCAATGATAATCGATTTTGGAAATTCTTTTTTATTAGACAGCTTAATGGGCCGCTGTGGTTCCATTAAAATTTCTTACAAATACCATTTAGTTAATAGAGGGATAGGGGACACATAACTAACGAGAGGGATGACTAACGAGAATTGCAACTTTATAGTTTAACAAGTCACGAACGATTGATAACTAAATCTAAAAACGGTCATACCACAATATTTTTGATAGATCCAACGATATACCACGCTATGGGAAAATAAAAAAATGTTTAATCCCCAACTTTACATGTACGGAAGGAGGGAAAATGTAAGAGGGAAAAAAACATTTTTAATCAACAGATGGAATCGATTCAAATCGAATAGGGAGAATGGGCCTAACCAACTATATGGGCCCAGTGCGGATTGGTGGGTGTTAACGACTGCAGATGCTGCTAGGACGGAGGAGGCATGGAGGAGCGCAAGATAATAAATTGCTTATCGCAGATCGAGCGTGCTAACCTCTATGTCCATTAATCCACAAATTAAAATTATTTTTTAAAGGAAAAATAATATTTTTTCTTATAATACTGCACAAAAATCAATTATTTAAAAAAAATATTACAACATCGAATATATTAAACCTTTGTTTTGTATTAAGTTCACATAAAAAACAATTTTTGTTTTTCTCATTTTTTGTTAATATTACACTCGATTTCCAAAACGTAATATTCTTGACCGTAAAAAATCAAACTATTCCGTGCATCTGTGTTCAAAGACAAAACCTATATACTAAACGAACCGTTTTGAGCGTTCAAAACACTTTCCAGTCGAGTAGTGAAACGACAAATATTTCTACAGAATTAAAGGAAGAACTATTAACAAAAAATAAATTGTCTAAATAAAATATATAATTAAAACACTCGACAAAAATTAAATATAAACGGCATTTAAATTCTTTTAGCAACTATATTATTTTTATAATGATGATCTATTGATGTTTAATAAATGTGAAGCTTTATTTAAAGCTTAACCTGACTCGTTTGATTCGTATTCAATTGCATTGC